GTCCTTGCATGGCCAGAATCTGCACTGCCACAATTTAAGGACCCTGATCACTAGTTTTGGGGAAACCAGAGAGACTGCATTGGCTCCAAGGGGTGCTGTCACCTTGTTGTGGCCAGACATGAACATTTCTGCTGCATTTCCTCACGTTGAAAGAGCAGAATTTACTGCCTCCTGGGAACCTGAACTAAGTTCATGTAGAGATTTTCTTTTGTTTACAAAACTAGGAAACAGCATATGTGAAGAAAGAGCAGGTCAGTCCGCAGATGGTGACTTACAGCACCGTCTAATTCTGTTAGCAAATAGCTACTGGGCTGCCAGTATCGGTTTTACTGGGAGGTGTCAGAGCGGCAGTAAATGTACACTAACAACTGTACACTAATAAGAAAACATCCATTTCGGCAAAGAAAAATCCTTTTCAGCATTAAGAATCTTTCTCCCTCACAGAAATCCTCTAAATTTTAATCTTCACATTGGCTGTTCGGCTGTCCTTCTTGGGAAGCACTTTAAAGACTCGATTTTACATGTTTTTTCCTCCCAAAAGGCTTACCACTAATATTCTTCACTCAAAAACAGGAGGGGAAATATTTTTATCAACATAATGCTAAACTTAAAATATAGAGATGATGATATACAGATCTTTATATATTATAGAATATATGTATATATATATAGATTTTTTTTGTTTGCCCACTTCTGACTGACTGGTATGTGCTTTCTGTTACTGAGGTAGTTTTTGGAAGCCTTCATGTGCGACATGGCTGTGGTTAAAACAGGTCTGCAGCCTGACAGAGACTCGTGTGAGTGTCAGGCATCTTTCCTTGTCATTAGGATTCAAACAGCATCCAAGGTGGATTTACATCAGCGAACAGGTTTGTCTTACAAGACGCCATTAACATGTGGATTTGCAGGAATTCTATGTCAGCTGAGAGGCCGGCCTCACGTTATTCCGACCGGCTCCTTCCCTCGACTGCCTTGGAACGATGTTATCCTATCGATTCCGGCGGCATCCATGCGGCGAGGAGGACAGATGTGTGTCGAAAAGGTTGAAGTATGTAAATGTCGTTGGTGGGGTTGACTTCAGGGAGGACGACTTGTCGATAAGAGAGGTAGCTAGAGACCCAGTACATTGGGACGCTATTTGTAAATTATTTTAATTTAGTTTTTTAGTATAAGGCTTCTAATTGAAGAACTAAATCACACTGGCGTTTTGTTTACCTACTTTGTTTTGCTTCAGGAAAAAAAAAGCAAGATTATATATAGCACTGCTGGATATTTTGCAAGCATTTAGCAGACTGGAAAAAATGCGAACCATCGTGTGTGATTAATTTCCGCGGTTAATGCCTGTTTACCTGCACAGCCTTTGGGAAATGAGACATTAAATATGGCCAGTGTGGAACTGCCGTATTCTCCCACGTACACATGGAATTCCCCACAATTTGCGTTCTCCCTACTGGGTGAATGTGTGTGAGAGAGCAGACATGCAATGCAAACTCTCCCATTTCCAGTCCATCCGGAGACTTTCTCCCTCGTAAAGAAATACACAGAAATCTAATCCCACAAAGTTTTATGGCTTTTTAAAAATGTACCCATTAGGGCTGCAATGCCCCACATGAAATTTAATGTACTGTAATGATCTACAATGAATGGTCACTTTTAGTTAAACATAAATTATGCTGAGGGGATATTGTCACTGTCGTTGTGCCTCTGGTTCGCCTGGGACCACACCAGATGCTTCTCATGGACAATGACCATGTGAGATGAGAAGTGTGGTGAAACATTGTGTTTCATCTATATTGTGTCATTAGCACCTGGAGCCCATTGTAACTGACATCTCCATCTCAGTGATGAGTTACTGAGTTACATCCCAATCAGAGCTTTTTAACTTTGAAATATTACCACTCGGGAAAGAGGAGGCCCAGAGACCATTGGTTCTGGATGTTCCGGATCTTCTGGACTTATCTGAACCCCAGGAATGTGGCCCTGGTTGTATTGCTAATTTCCATGAAGAGAGTACATGTCTCACTCTTCTATCGACCGCACACTGTACAAGCAGCACACGGAATTAACATCGGCCTGCCATAAATCAGATTGATTTAGACTAATTATGCCTCGTTTAGTAGCGATAATATGCGCCCTCTTCCCCTTTTGATAAACAACGTGAGAGCAAACATACGTCGTCTGTGTGCCAGAGTGGGTATGGGATGTTCTGTACACAAAAATACAGCGACGCGAGGAGATTATAACGAGCTGGGTGAACGCGCTTGCTTGGGAGTTAGCTTTCCTTTGAAGGGCTGGTTTCGGAAGCACTTTATGACGCGATTGCGTGCCTATGAGGGTCAAACCCGTCACCGCGAAAAAGTACGACCAGGAAGCACAGCCAGTCCGGCCTCCAGCTGACGCGTTTTCCGACGTTCCGCGGCGCATCGCATGCAGAAAAAACAAACAAACAATGTAACGTTTGCGCAGCCGCTGGTCTAGAGCGAGATGTACTTCATCTGTGTTGACGGTGGCTCTCGGGCAAAGCGAGCAATCACACCATGTCCGCATCTGCAAACCATATCGAGTAACAGCCAGCCAGACCAGTCCTGTAACACCCTTACTAAATTTTCTGCAATAACCAGGATTTTAGTAGAATGCTTTGAGGCTTTGATTGAGGGCGGACTTTCCTCACAGGACATTTAAGTAAATGTACTTGACCCTCCTGCCATAAAACAAACAATCAGCAATATGAATACAGGACTATTAATAGTTTGTTTGTACAAATCTAAATGAACAACTGTAAATACACGAATAATACTGAAGGTCAAGGCTGAATAGGCACTCAGAATTGGGACACGCAGTACAGAGTACGTGCAGAGCCCCTCACACAGTCTCAAAGTTCACTCGCACGGATTCGAACCACGATAAATCATGCTAAAAGTTTTATTAATCACAAGCGCATCTGGCGTGCCGCCTCAGAAAGCTACGAAACTCAGTTAAGTAGCACTTTGATTTTCAAAGACGCTTCCACGGCACATTTGTTTGACACCACCTGGAAAATACCTCGATGGCTTTTTAATTTTTGCCTTGATGAAACGCCGCTTGGGTGGACGTAAACGCGGTATTTGATATGCATTAATAATATGGCCGCGGGCGAATCGGCCATTAATCCGGTTTATACGCAGGCTTGGTCTCGGCGCCGTTTCGCTCCATTAATCTCGCAGTGTTTGCTTTAAGTAAATCACTCACCCAGGCACCTGCTGGGAATGGATTTAATGGTATCTCCAGCAGCCTGGCCTGCAGGGCCAGTGCAACGTGGCTAATGCTGTTGTGTCAGCCATTAGTTCACAGCTACTGTTTCTCTACTTTTCTGTCTCTCTTGTATTGGG